GAGAAGGCGAGACAAGCATTTTTCTTTGTGAGCCCAGACATTTTGACTTTTCAAATTGTGAGACCAAGACCTCAAAGTGTACTAAGTGTGAGCACAAGAAGTTCAGATTCTAAGGGGCCCATGTTATTTATAAAAGCACACAAACAAATCCGGACTTCGAGACTTTATTAACCTTGCAAAAAATCGAGACTCCAGACAGCCTTGTGAAAAAATTGAGACTGCGAGACACACATGTATTACTGCCAAAAATCAAGACTGTGAGACCTATGAAATTCGACAAAGATTTTGTGAGACCCGTGGTTTTTGAAGGACCATTCACCACCCCTTGGTTTTAATGATACTTCAAACAAAACTTGTAAATCATCAACAGTTTATATTGAGCAAGATTCATGTGTTTTTTGACAGTCACTTGGTGTCATGTAATGATGGGTCAATTGGCAGCTTGAGGTTTTTCTTACCCATTGAAATGACCTTGAAACTAATATGTAAGATTCCCTTTACTTTGAGGATAATTTGTTTATTGCTTAGAATAATTTGTACCCCTAAGGTCTGTCACTCACCTTGCAGTATGTTTTAGTGACTCGTGTTTGAACATTATTTGTGGTGGAATTAAAAGACCTGACAGACAGTAACAAATCACAATTAATTCACTTTTCAAGACCCAAGCAAGCTTGCACCAATGGACCTTTTTACCAATGACACACATTCCATCAACAATTTTGCATAATTTTCAAATAAACAAACACTCACCTCCATAGTTCGATTTATCATGCCAAATTTAGTAAATTTACCAAGGTTCACAAGAATTTGTTGCAAACTCAAAAATATAGGACCCCAAACTCACAAAGATCTTTTTAAGAATTGGCAAGTTTGGAGTCCCATATAATGCACTTGCAATGGATTCTAATGAAAGTTTGCAAATTTTCTAAATTTGGCATGATTAATCGAGAGGTGAGATTTATTTTTTGTTTGATCAAAAACAACAGAAAAGCATGACATTGGTATAAAGGTCCATTTAAATGAAAAACTAGACTCTAAATTTGACTTGATTTTTTTCATTGTCAAGTTGGCTGATATTGTATTCATAATCTATTGCTATATTCACCATTGCTAGCCACAGTACATGTAAGTAAAGTTGGGCAATGTAATATAATCACCTGCAAACTTGTGCAACAACTCTTGATCCAAAGTCTCTAAGTGCCCAATGGTTATCAGTGTCGGGATTGGGACTGAGTTGTTTACTCACAATACATGTAATAACTGCTGGTATCAACTCATGAAGCTGATGAAAGAAAATCACAAAATCATCATATCATAACTGGTGAAAATGGGTTGTTACCTGTTACCTAATTTTCCTTGTGCATCATGGCACATAGGGCCTTTAAAATGTTTACCTTCACCATTTCAACCAGTCTATAAGCTATAATGTCAGACAACACTTTTTCTAAATGAAAGTTGCCAAACTGAAACTCACATATTTTTCCAAGTAGAGTGTTGGATTATCCAGCAGTGCTTTCACCATTCGCATGAGATAGATCAATAACACGAGGTTATTTTGGGCAACATTGACTCTCACCTAGAAAACAATTAGCACAAAAAAAGAACCATATACCACCATTCAAGGTAAGGCTATTGAGCTACAGGGGGTAGGGTGGGGGATTCCATATTAGAGTGATGCAGTGCTTGAAATTAGCGGTCCTCCAGTCACCTGAGACGACTAAAAAATGGTCCACACAACCACTTTTAACAGACGTCGCAAACTGTCCTGTTTTCAAAACCAGGCCTCCCCAAAATATTATGGCACGCAGGTAATAATAATAATATAATAATAATAAACTAATATTTTCAGAGGAGGCCTCCAATCACCTAGAGGTAGTTTTCAGGTAAAATATACATTATATGTCTAAAATACAGAAGTAATAAAAGCTAAAAACGTGATAGTAAGACTAAGGTTTAAAACTAGAACTAGGATTAAGAATCAACTGCTGACTAAGGTTAAAAATTATTAAGGTAATCATTCTCTTTGGAGGCATTGTGGGAAAGTACTTTGCAAGTTGTCAAACATACATTTACATGAGGTAAGCAAATTGTGTTAATTAATCGGGGCTGTCGGAGAGACCAGCTTCGGCGAAAATCGCCAATGCTTAATATATTATAGGGTTCTCAACTAGGCTATTATTCAGAGTACTCAAATAGCGTATCTTTCGAAAAACGGTGGACTTCATTTTGTTTGCCATTCCCCACTGACTGTTTGACAGCCGGTCTTTGATGTAACCTTCAGGCTTTTCACTGAAACCACAGGCTTTTTGCTGTTGTTACTGTATTTCTCTTACGTGAATATGCAAGTGTTGTACTCTCTGTTTCAAGCAAGTATTTTTGCTAAGCGTTAATTTGTTTATGTGAAAGTGCAAACATCCTTCAAGGAAGCCATTTCGGGCCACTTTGTGTCATTTACATGAAAATACATTATAATAGTTATTTAACGGTTTTTGTCTTGTCAAAACCTACAGCTGGTTTTCACATGACGTCACCAAAATTCGAACTACAAAACTATTGATCTTCCTGAGATTTTACTTAAATGATGTATAAGAGCAGCTGAAAACTAATATTTGTACAAATGTTTGCTCCGAATGGGTTCTTGGTTTTGTGATACACTATGCTTGAATTTCTAAGCTTCTGTGTGACAAATCAGGACACCTGCTTCAACACTCCAAGCACTCCCTGCCCAGCTAACCGCCACCCATAGTACTCCACTACAAGCTTGGGATCCAAGCACAGGATAATGTAGACCTTGTTAAAGTTGCACTTTTGTCACTACGTACCTGACAGTATTTGGGGCATAATTTGGGTGCACACCTTCCACTTAGCTATCGCCTGCGTCAGG